AGAAAAATAGACAAACACTGTGAAAGACGAGCCAAGGGCTAAGTTATTACAACATCCAAGTACTGCATGGGCAAAAATAATGGGCTCCATACATTTAAGAGGAAACTAAGAAGCTGGCCTTTCCATATTTTGGCACAGTTATAGAACAACAGATTATATGTTTTCACATATGTTCCTCTTCATCGGCACTTCTCTTCAAGCACAGCCTTCAGTGCCCGTCTTCTAGCAGAGGTTGGATACTCAATAGAGCAATCTTTGCTGACGTCGTTGTTTACATTCTTGTTCATTAAGATACAACTGGCATCATACTTGGACATGAATTGACTCCAAGCATTACAAGAGCTTGTGAAACTTAGTAACTGGTTATATTTGTTGCTCCTTGGGTGTGATATTGGAAAAAAAATTAGTTTTCAAAATTGAAAAATTTCTGGGTGGCAAGCGCGCTCATGATTCATACATTCATTGTATAATTTTGAGTTTTTAAACCCGCTTCGCACGAAAAGTGTTTAAAAATGCATCGTGTTTAAATTCCTTATGACAGCTAATCTTGATATGCAATTCCGAACTAATATTCAGAACTGTAAGTTTTTTTGCTTGATCAGAAACTGAAACACTTATAATCGCTTGTAATAAATTAAAAATTTACCTATATTTAAAGGCGTCAAATATGATCTAATGCTGATTACCGTAATATTTAATCCCTTCCGAAAAATTCCCCTTCTGTTAAACCTCGGGGAAAATTGTACCAATCAACCGTGTAAACACAGCTAAGATTGTGAACTTAACAGCCCTTTTCAATTGGAAAGTTCAACACACATGGCGTTCTGTCGATCAAGTTAACTGATTAAGCACGAATTGAGTAGATTTCTGACTGTCACTAGGGTGACTGAGTGACTGTATTCTAAAAGATGAGAAAAATAGACAGACACTGTTCGCAACCGAAACAAAGACGAGCCGAGGCTGAGTTATTGAAACAAATTAGTAAATCAAGCATTAGTTGTGAAAAACAATGGCACTAACCTTTAAGTGATATTTCACTGCAGCAATTTTTTCCCAAAGGAAGAGCACTGATTCACCCTGTCAGCCAAGTTATCTAAAATAAATTCAAATAATTTCGAAATTATCTCAGATAATCAGGTCAGTCATCTCCCTGAAAATCACAGTTACAAGGGCACGAGTTCGAACCAACCTAGTCCTAAGGAATGAAGGAAGCACAGTATTAACCTGGTTTGATTTGGCAGTTCAGTTTAGCCGGAAAAGCATTTTTGAGCTATTTTTTGTAAAAAAAATACCTCTTAGTCGGCGCGTCGGGTATGTTATGGACTAGTCAATGGATGAGTGAGTGAGAGATGTATGTATGTCACACCAATCAGATTGGATCTACTATAAACAGCCAATCAAATTTCTTGTTGTAAAGGTAAATGGTATGTGAGAAGATTTGATCCCGACACAGTTTAGAACGGCCATATTTATTCTTCTATAAAAGAGGAGGAAGTATTCATATGTTGGGCTTACTTCGACATTTTCTGTGGGTTAGGCTGAGGATTTTAGTTACGAACAAGATGAGCCTTGAGGTTTGAAACAGTTCGTGCGTTAGTAGTATGCAAATGCAATGAGATATTTTTAGTTTTAGTTACAAAGGTAACTTGATACTTTTGTTTTTCACAAGGAGTAAATTCTATTAGAGGTCACGAATCGTCGCTTCTAGTTCTTAGGACATGTTTTAGAGGAGACGAGACTATTTAGATTTGAAACAGTTCTAACGTTTACATTAGTAAGTGCAGGTAACGATTGTTTTGTTCTTGTTGCATGCAAATATAACGAGATATTTTTATTTTTTAGTTTTAGTTGTTTTTCACAAGGGAGTAAATTCAATTAGAGCTGACGAATCGTCACCACTCTTTTCCACGAGATGTTTGCTATCTTTAGTTACAAATGGTAACTGAACACTTTTGTATTTTTTATCTGGGAGTAAATTCAATTATAGCTGACAAGTTATCGGCTATTGTTTACAGGATATTTAACAGAAAAAAGCTTTCATTTTCTGACAGTTTGTAGGTCTCTGCAGTAGCAGTTTATTTTTATTTAATGGGCATTTTATGACATTCTTTTCAGTCCGATATTTTTAAAGGTAAAAATTATCAAAACTGCTCAAATGTTCTTTGAAGACCGCGTGGCACCAAGTTAAAGTGCAATTTAATTAAATCAGACTTTCAATGTGTCAGAGAGGTTTTTTTTCTCTTTCTTTCTATTTTTGGTAAGGTAGTGTTGTTGTGTTGTGTTGTGCAAAAAGGGTAAACTTAGGACTCGTACAAAATGCGAAAAGGTCTCTTAACTTGAGTATTTTTGAGCAAAAATTCCTCTTGGGGGTTGGAGGGGTTATGTGATCGGTGAGTGAGGGAGTTATGCATGTGCGCGTGTCACACCAATCACAGTGCGGGTTGTATCAAAGAACGAATCAAATTGCCTGTTAGAAAATAAGATGGTATCTACATCAATCTGGAGACGTGTCAGATTACTTAAGTTTGTTCAGTCAAACATTTTATGGCTTACTATTCAGCTATCTTACCATGACCGATGTAACATCGCATGTACATCATAAATTCCCAGTCTGTTTCTTGCTGTACATTACAACCAAATAAACTTGTCAAATTAACCAAATCGTTATTGTAAACAGCTCCATGAATGCTCCTATCTCCGACACTTCGCACGAAAAAAATAACTCTTGCACGCCTTGCGTGCCTATGTTTTCATCCGGCATCATGCGATCGACAAGGAAGTAAAACTGCACAGGACGAACTAAGATATCCACCCAGCCGTCATCTAAAGTTTCAGTGATACTAATTTGCCAGAAACATTTGGACTCCTTCTTTTTTTCTAAGTTTACGTTGTTGTCGTGGCATGAGCACATATCTGACCCAAGCTAACGACCATCATATTGCTTCCTGGTTTTCACTGATCGCTCAGTTCCGCTAACGCTTAGGCTTGTAACAAAAAGGCAAGTAACAAGAAAACAGCGGAATGAAGAATCTTGCCTGCAATTTGCTCACTGAAACCCTTGGACAGAAATTAAAACAGTTTCATTTCGCTTGTTCACGGAATTGTACATTTTCCTTAAAAACTCGTCCAAGATTTTGGGGGTGGGCTGCAAATGTCAGTTTTCAGTCATTTTTTTCCAGTTTTAAGTTGCCAGTCAAATAGCACCTACGATCACGTACCAAGATAAACTAGGAGAACAGAGATTTTCTTGAGGATTAATGGGAAACATTTGCCCTTCACGTGATGAGAAATGTCCCATTTCAAGGGTCTCGGCTTTAGAGCTATACGGGATTTCCGTCCCAAGAGCCCACCAGGGAAATTTCACAAATTGCTGCCGGAATCAAGCTTCCCATTAACGAGATAGAAATTGGAGTTTGATTCTGACCTGGAGTATGAAGTTAAATGGGTACATAAATCTGGTCCGAACGTAACAATTGAATTATTTCCCAAATTGAACCACGAATAGCTTCATACTCCTCATATTAGTAAGGCTGTGATTGCTCTGCACTTGTTACTCGGGCTTCCGTAGGAAAGCCCGAGTCTTAAAATGCAATCGTTTTGGTCGCAAAAGGGGGGTCATGGTCCCAGGCGTTCCATGCGTAGACCATGCAAACTGTGGACGAGAAACTCGACATTGCTCGCTCTTTGTGACAGAATGTGGCGTTTTGCGAGGAAAGTTTTGGCAAGAATCGCGCCTTATACGTTCATCTCACATACAAAAATGTCGATCGTTTTCAGAAAGGGTAGGTCCAAAAATTATATTGCTTGAAAGCCAGCCAGGTAAGCAAAATTCAAGCTGGAAACGTTCTCGGGAGATAACAACTGAGCCGATTGCGGTATGAGTTCAATCTAAGAAAACACTGGCAAAAAATAGGTTGTCAATGACGGTATGTGGCTACTGCTGTTACTATTTAGAACATTGCAGTAAAACAAATCATATTGCAATAAAACGAGCTCAATACGAAAACGTTTTTGGACTCGTAGCTCATTAGAAACATGCGACTTGTTTCTTGTACCGCGCAAAATATGTCGATCTCCAAAGTTGTAAAGATAAGACTTTCGGTAACTTGAATTAAATATCTTACCTCCAAGTTAGTTGGGTACAAGTTAGTCAAGTAGGGTACAGGAGAAAAAACTAACGTGTGAATTTGGAGGTACATTGTACGGGAGAATTAAACCTTCGATTGTGCCGAGAATTGTGCGGGATTATTGAGGGACAACAATGTTCTTGCCAAGTCCTAAGGAAAATCTGCATTGACGGTAGTTTAGCCAGTTATTTCACTAGTAGTTCAAATATATTTAGCAGTCTTAGCAATCGCCAATTCTTTTAGAAAACTATGTCTGACTGCAAAAGAAAATCATGTTGCGTGACATGAACTAGACGAGCATGAAACCAAAATGAATAGCAAAACAGAATGCCGCATCTTCCCTCATAAATGAGAGTCCTTTTTAAAGATACCCCTGCCTTGATTCAATAAAGATATGTAGCTTGAATATTTCTTTATAAACTGCGTCGCAAATTCTTGGAAGTTATCCGCAAAATACACAACTTGAAAGTTTATGCAAATTATGTGCAATGCAATTTGAGCCTAGTTACAGGACTGTTGTTTTCGCGACGGAGTTTATCATGATTCGTTTTGGCTCTCTCGAAAGGGATTATTCGCNACCAATCACAGTGCGGGTTGTATCAAAGAACGAATCAAATTGCCTGTTAGAAAATAAGATGGTATCTACATTAATCTGGAGAAGTGTCAGATTACTGTAGTTTGTTCAGTCAAACATTTTATGGCTTACTATTTAGCTATCTTAACAATGTAACATCGCAACCGAAACAACTTGTAAAATTAACCAAATCATTACTGTACCATGAATGCTTCTATCTCCAACACTTCACACAAAAAAATAACTCTTGCACGCCTTGCGTGCCTATGTTTTTTAAAAGGTATTGCGATAAAGCCAGATAAATCATTACAAACGTGAAAAAATGGCCTATTTATTCAACGTGCAGTTTCCACCCTCCAACTTCTGTAAATAAATGAAGCAGTGATCAATGTTGTACCGTGTTTATAAAACAACTCTGTGTTTTAACAACCATGAAATTCAAATTTACAGATAAATGATGTTTGAATTTGGTGTAAAATGCCCAAGTAGGGCATTTTACCTGCATCACTTTGAAACCTCTATTTTGAGTGGCTCTTGCTAATCTGCACCTCTTTAGTTCTCGGGACCAGGGGCATTTTTTTGTTTTGTTTGGCCAATTAAAAAGAACCTTGTAAACGGTACAGTGCAGGTTGCCCCAATTAAGGATCGATCCTCAGAGAAATGATCTGCACTAGAATAGTATGAGGTTTTCCAAACCTACATGCTGCATACATATCAGGCTACTCACATAATATCCTAAGACCTAAAATTTTAATAGTCAGGAGGGTACAAAAAAAAACAACAACAACAACAAATGTTAAGGTTTGCCTTTTGAGCAAGCTGTAGCTATGATGTACTGGCCTGAAAGTCATTCTCACAGTCATTGTTTTCTACTGTGCTTTTTCTTTCATGTCATGTGTGACAGACTAAGCTTCACAGTGACCATTTACAGTCTACTACAACAAGTTCACAGATGGAATCCACTGGCCCGTCTGAAAATCCACTAGCCTGGCCATCAGACACAACTTTCTTTGCCTGCTGGTCAGTGACATAGAGTGAACCATCTGCACATGTTTGTTTGAGAAGAAAGTTGTACTCTGATCTTATAAGTCCTATTCCTGGCTAGGTTTGTGAAGAGTACCGTGTCATCAATATGACAATTTCTAAGTAGGAGGCTATTTGACTTGGCATGAAGGAATCCTATCTCACATAGAATTAAGGTGCAGGTACATGACTGTGCATTTAACACTTAAAGAGAAATATTTGCAACTGCAATTAACTTGTCTCTGATACCAAGCTAGATACTAGCTTTGGTAATCACTCCTGGTAGAAACGAACTTTATCAGCCAGGTCTTTTCTTCCAGCTTTCACCAAAGCCTTCATCAAGTTGCTTCTTGTTGCATCCTTTGCTTGTTTATGTTTCCATTCATTCAACATAGCAATGACCTTCTCGGAAACAGAATCATCTTCTGAATCAAAAGTGGTTACATGATCAGGTGTGAAGCCCAGATATACTGCCACTAACTTCCAATTTCTTGTCATTAGCTGAGAAAGGTCTGCCATAAGGGTGTCAGGAACATCTTCTGAAACTGGAGACCAAAGTAAAAATCCATCTGTAAGAACCTAGTGATAGAGAACCTTTAGCAATTGGTTCATGCTGTTAGTTGTGTACTATTCAAGCAACAGAGCACCTTTTCTGTGTTTACATAACCTCATCTAAACATGAGGGGGGTTGGGAGAATTCAAGACAGTTATGCCTACCCGAGACACAGTTGAGGGAGAAACAGAGAAAGTGATCTTACTATTGCTCTTATAAAATATTTCTCAAAACTATGCTCATATCTAAAACGTCACAACTGTGTTTACACACTCTCATCTAAACACACTTAACGACCACTGATAACATACACAGTAGCTCAGTTATTTTATACAGAGTTATGATGCACTTGGGAAGTTTGGAGAGCACTCAAGAGGATAGAGTTGTTCTCGGCTGTTTGTCTCGAGCAATTCTTACATGTACACTTCTTTGTGCTCTCCAAACTTCCCGCAAGCATCATAACTTGATAGTGCATGCTAAAGCATGACCCAATAATTGTCAAATAGACCCCTATAGATTATAACATTTTGCCAGCATTTGAACCCCTATTATAAGAATGTGTTGAGCCCATAAAATTGTAACAGGTTCTTTATTGCAGATCTGGCAAAAATTGGCATTTTAATTAAAAGCTGTAGTGTATTGAACATGGTAAGGAACCTAAAATAAATCTTTTTTTTTTTCTCCAGCATCCTCGAATTTGATTGGCTAATCATGCACTTGTGACCAGTCCAGCTTTTTACAATATGGCCCATGGGCTGGATTTTTTCCCACTGTAGCGATTACGGCTCCTAAATTTCGCTCCTAAAAGTTGGTGGTAATCATCAATCTTTTGCCTTTTTTACACTTCCATCGACAATTAGTTAATGCAAGTTTATCTCTGTTCACTTTAAAATGGCAAGGAAAGTCACTGTAAGTAAATTAAATTGAGTGTTTTGAAGTTGTGAGAGTTTACTTATTTGTTCGTAGTTTGGTGCTGTAATAGAGTGTAATCCTGTGTTTCTCTCGCCGTAAAATTTGAGTCAATTTCAGTTGAGTTTACCTCTCTGATTGTTGCTGTATTTAGGTGAATTTCTGTGGAATACACTTAACGGGTTTCCTCGCTTTCTGCTGTTCAATTTATGGTAGAAAAGTCTGGTTTTAAGTGATTTTAATAGCAATGAATGACAGAAATTGTTTTTGTAGTAAAACTTCAAACTTCGCATGAAATTTCACACTGCAAAAACAATTTTGGAGAACTTAACTGGTGAAATAAATGCCACTAACATAAAGAAGTTTGAAAAAAATCTGTTCTTTAATACATCTTTCTTTGTCTACTATCTGAGTTACTTGCTCGTCGCGAAGAGTTTTTTACAAATCGTTAGTAGACAGCGCACAGCTGATTCAATGACAAAGTTGCGTAAACAAACCCATTTGTAATCTGGTAAAACCACAGTTTTTCACTATACAGACTGACCCTAAGCCAGCAAATAACATATATATATCAGGGAGTGTACTGTATAATTTTCATTAGAATTAAGTCTTGCATTAATTTTTAAACATAAACTTTTTTTTCTCATAGGAAAGAAGAATCAAACCTATTTGGATCAGCAGCAAGCACTTTTTCCATTTCCATTTAATATTTAAATGCTATTTAAGACCCTAAATAACCTTTTACAGTGTATCTCAGTAGACAAAACACAAGAACCTTTTTAAACTACTGTAACTTGGAAATATCAAGGTTCTTGTTTACAGATGGGTTTTACCATGATACTAATTTTCAAGAAAAGTTGCATTTAGCCTTGCACAATGCAATGAAGGCCCCAGATTTGTATCTACCTGGTTCTGAGACTGACGGCCATGGTGACTCCAGTAAACGTTTAACAACATCTGAAAGGAAATACAAAATTTATTAATACAAAAGATTGCATACAGCAGAATTCCACTTTTCCTACAAACCAATTCTGATGAAAATAATAATTATTTTATCAGAACTGGTCATCTGGGTTTTCACAATTCCAGTGAGAACAAATGGACCACAAATTTTTCATGTTCTAAATGACATCATGAATATTTCACTATAAACTTTGAAAAGTAATTTTTATGGTCTATGATTGTAGCCTAAATTTGCTATAATAAATGATACCCTGGAGCTTTTCTTGTGTGCACTGGTGTTTCTTGAGGAGTGTTATCAATGATACACAAACATTAACTTAATAATAATAATAATAATAATAATAATAATAATAATAATAATAATAATAATAATAATAATAATAATAATAATAATAATAATAATAATAATAATAATGTTTAGTGAGGGAATCCAACTCGCCAAAGGCGGTTTTCAGTGGAGCCCTCCTAAGGGCTTCAATCAAAAAACAAATTAAACAAAAATTGTATTATCTCTCACCAGGTGGAGGGTAGATAAGGTTGGCATCAAACTTTTCTCCCTTAGAAAGTATTTTCCCTCTGCACATCTTAGTCTGTGTACCATGTGACATTTTTAATGCAGCAGAACTCATCCAATTACATGGGAAAAGGCATGGTGGTGACTTCTTCTTTCTTGTGCAGGGAGGGCACAATGAAAACCGCTCAACACTCAACCTTTGCCATTCCTTTAGCAATGCATCTGTCTCCTAATTATGGCAGAAGAAAGCAAATCAATGCTGGGTAAAACAGATTATGCTATGTTAGGTTGTGGGGTTTATTATTAATCAATGGCAGGATCCAATATGAGGAGTGGTGAATGGCACATGCAAGGCTTTGCAAGATGACAAGACTAGTGTTTTTCTTTGTCAGCCTGAGTCATTTTGACTTTTTAAATTGAGAGAGTGTGGACTATCTGAAACTGAAAATTTGGCTGCAACACTACATGTATGTTGTGACATCCTGAACCAAACTAGCTGTTTTTCCTAGCACAAAATGTGGTGGTGGTATGTTTCCAAATGTTGAATTAAGGTAATTCAGGATAATTTTGTTGGATCTTGATCAAGTCACATATGTATGAGATTTGGTTCTTTGTATACATGTACATGTAAGGGGTGGTGAATGGTAAATGTAAGACTTTGCGAGATGGTGAGACTAGCATTTTTGAGGTCAATTAGTTGAGTTCATATCTTCCCATGAGGAGTGAAATAATGTGAAGTTTATATGAAATAATTCATATATGAACTGCGGTTGTAGATGAAAGTGAAGAATGATCATCGCAGTTAATTTTCCAATTTAAGCAATTGGAAAGAAGAAGCCTGAAAAAAAAAAAAAAATCAGGGCTTCAACGGTGACGATCATTCTTCACTTTCATCTACAACCGCAGTTCATATATGAATTATTTCATATAAACTTCACATTACTAGCATTTTTCTTTACAAGCTTGAGACATTTTGACTTGTTCAATTGGGAAACCGAGACTTCAAAGTGTTTTAAAAGCGAGCTCGAGACGTTCAAGTTCCAAGACATTCAGACTTAAGCTTGACATGTAAACGATATTAACAAATTGGCCCTTTTAGACTCTCATAGCCTTGAAAAAATTGAGACTGCAAGAGAGCTTTGTAAAAAAAAATCGAGATTGTGAGACACATAACTGCTAAAAATCCGAGACTGCAAGACCCATCAAATTAAGTGAAAATTTTGCGACACCCATGGTTTTTGAAGGACTATTTGCCACCCCTCATGTAGCCAGATAGTGCACAGAGTGTTCTCAAATGATGTTTTCCAATATTGCAGAAGATTTCTATAGATATTCCAACAGTTTTCAAATATTGATAGATTTTGAATGAAGTCCAACTGGGACATGGTTTGGAGGATTCAAACTAGACAGCCAAGTATAATATGTAGCTTGTTTTTTCCAAATTAAATTGGCTTTAAATGCTGCTTAGTTAATGCCCAAGTCGCTAGTGGAGGGAAGGTGCTTACGAAGCCCAGGGGCTGCAACTGCAGTCACATCTCCAAGGCACTAGAACACCCGACTGGCCTGCCCAACCCGCAACCAAGCCACAAGCCCCCCACACCAAGCCCCAGCTACAGGACCCCGTCACACTAAGCCAAATGGCTCAGTGGAAAGAGAAAAAAAACTGCTGAAAATAGGGGGAGGGATAGGGAGGGAACGCCGAGAACCACTAAACTGCTATAATTCAACCCACAATGCCACGCAAACAGAGCAACGAACACACTGCAAGCACATGGGATGACAATGCACGTACTAACCAAAAATACCGCTGGACAATGTCAGCCCCAGGGCTCCCACAGCCATATGACTGCTGCAAACACTACAGAACGCACCAAACACTTAACAAACGCTAACAGACAGCCAAGACATTAACAAACGCCTACAAAAAACGCTACTGACCAGACTAGCTCCTGGTCATAAACTATGTAAAATTTCATTGAACTATATCAAATGCTACAGAACACACCAAACACTAAACAAATGCTAGCAGATGGCCAAGACACCAACAACTGCCTACAAAAACGTTACTGACCAGACTAGCTCCTAGTCGTTAACTATGTTTAAGTCCATTTAACTATATTTAAACTAATAGTTCACATCTGTGAGGCATCTTGGAGAAATTGGTTCATATACTTGACAGCTTTTGAGATCAAAGTTTTTGATCTGCAAGTGCAAACTAAGCAAACGCCTAAGGTGTGAGAGTTGGTAAGTAAGCAAATGTGGACAATCACAATCTGGTCAGTGTAAAACACAGACTGTAGACCAGGGGTAAAATGCAAACTGAGGGTAAAATGCAGACTGCAGACTACATAATTTATGGTTACATTGGAACAAAGGAGAATACAGAACATGCTAGTTACAGTCTATAAATGCCTACACGGTGCCACACCATCGATTTTACTAACTTATCTACAGGTGTGTGAGGCCGGTTCCTATATTTTAAGAGGTTATGCCAAACTGAAGCCGCCTGCTGTTAGGGCAACAACATTTGGTCTTCACTCTTTCTGTCATCTCGCCTCTAATGCATGGAACAAACTACCGGACACTACTTGGAAGGCTGACAAGATACCCTTTAAACACAGACTCAAACAATTTAAGAACAAATAGACGATTACTGTAAATTAGTTTTTATACAAATACATTTAAATGTTCTTAATTTTTCTATTTAATGATTAAGTGTTTTCGGAGATACTAGCACAACAGTGCTATTCTAAAAAATCTGAATAGAAATAATTAAAGTTTATGTAAATTATGTGTAAGTATGTACAAGTATGTACAGACTTCTTACCAGTACATATCATATTATTTCTGTTATCAAGCACTGACTGTAAACAGGATTATTCATGACAGGCTAATTGTAGTGAAAGTCTGCACACTGATCAGCCTGACTAGCGCTCCGGTTCGAAAGAATATCCCTAAGGTTAGCCTGGATATCCCTCAGGTTAGCCTTAATGCTTTGGTTAGCCTGTTTACGGTTAGCTCTCAATGGTGGAAATGGTAACACAATTCAGTTAAAAAGTCTATAGTCTGCGGTCTGCACTTTACCCCCGGTCTGAAGTCTGCATTTTACCCCTCGTCTACAGTCTGCAGTACCCAGTCTGCGTTTTACATTGACTGATCACAGTCTGCTAGCCTTACCTGGACAAGTCTCAGCAGCACCTCCCACAGTGGTTCTAATTCTTCTTTCGGCCCTCGTCCTTTGAAGTAAATGGCTGGAGAGCTGGACTCTGCTCCTGGTGGGAAATTATGTTTGCGGACAAGGACTCGATGGTCATTTACAAACAACAACACATGATCCTTCCAGTTGCAGTAATCAAACTCAAGCGAACAGCAGCGAACTCGCAACCGATCAAACAAACCAGGAGGTAGGTATGCCATCATGAAGAGCAAATTTATCTCTGCCTGTTGACAAATGAATTTCATTTCAATGTCTAAAAACCCAAATACAAATCAATGATCATAGTTTGGCACAAAAACATAAACAAAGTGTAGCTTAGAAAAATTGACCCTCATTTCAATAACTCATGACTGAATCTCCAATGTTTCAACAGAAAAACTAGACTGAATTTTAGTTACTGGTACATGTCAATCCTGCAGGATCAATGATTTCCAAATGAGGGTCAGTTTCTAAAAGAGTTCCTTTGTAGTACAAAGATAAACAATTCAAGTCTCCTTCAACAGTGCAAGAGTCCCATTTTCAAGAGACAAGATTCTGGTGAGTGGTTCATCTGTAGTTTGTCTGCTAATACATTTGTTTTGTTAGTCACATCACATTCATAAGCCTGAACATTTATTCACTGTACTGATACAAGTGGAAAAAAAAGACCTTTGCACAAAATCATTCAACACAAAACACACCTGGTCTGCAGACAGGCTTTCGGAGAAACCTTCAACAGCATCAGGATACTCGCTCAAAAACCAAGGAACTAAAAGATTCAGTTCCTCTGGATCATCTGATGGCAGGCGACATGCAAGTCCTAGGTGGTGAAGAAGTTCAACCATCTGCAGAAACATGTTCTCATCAAGACTGATGTCCTCCCACAGGCATCTGTTTTGGTGAGTAAATAAAAAAAGTTACTGGCTGAGATTTACACTCTTTTAACATGTACCATAATAATGATTTGATTTAGCACCCGGGGTGCTTATTTACTTTTGGTACTTCAAGGGAGGGTGCTTATTCAAGACAGGGTGCTTAATTCTTTTTTGAGAAACAACTGAATGTTCAAAACAAAACTTAAATATGTTGATAGGTATTCTGATGGCCCTGTAACATTATAATATCAGAATAGGGGCACCCCTTTTGAAATGGGGTTGCTTGTTCATAAAATCACATTTGAAGGGAGGCGCTTATTCAAAAGGGGGCAGCTTATTGGAAGGAGCTGCACTAATTCGAATCATTTCGGTAGCTTCATGTCAAATGTTGCATAAAGAGCAGTCTACTAATAGCATTAAAATGACAAGGAAGTATTTGCACTGCTAATCTTTAACATTGTTAGCAGTAATGACAAAGAATTCCGGCACACTGTAGTCTGTGCACCTTTCTTGTGTTGATGTGCTTTGAGCCTAGATACTACTGTAGGCTGGTTTTTGAGTTACTTCAAAGTCACAAACTGTTTTTTTTACCAAAAGTCTTTAAGCAGTTAACATTGCATAATCTGTCAAATCAGATTGACACCGGTCCTGTGAATGTTGGCTGATGGCTGCTATTTTCACATTGGTCTTCTTTGCTGCGTTCTATAACAAATTACTTTATCACAGTTAAACCAGTTAATTTTGTTTTTATTGTTTGAATTTCAATGTTTCCCCCCGTTTAATCTCAAGAAATCTTGAGATTCTTTGGAGACAAAAATGTTCAGTGGGTGATATGAAAGTTACCTTAAGAGACGCTGTGACAACACTGCTTCTTTCAAAAGCTTTTCCTTGAGTGGATCAAAATATCCCCGAATGACTCCAAATTTTTGAAAGCTTTCCTTGTACTGCAGTGTGTTCTCCAGATCATGCCTAAAAAGACTCTTCACCAGTTTAGATAGCCATCGCAGATCAATGAACACATTAAAGTGCAAAGATGGAATGTCACTGTAATAGCATAGCTCCCCAATTGAATCCAGGTAGGTGACAGCTGAGCGCACGCCCATCTGTGAAAGGCTAGTGTGGTCTTTGGCAAACTTTTCAAAATCTTCGTAAGCCATACAAGGAACTTGTTGTTTTTTTCTACACTCCTTCAGTGCCTTTTCAAACTTGATCCACTCTTCTGGCAAATCTCTACCAACAGAAGGAAAGAGATGTCCATCTTCAGCTATGCGGATGATCTCATCTTGCAATACCACGATCCCTTTTAGTTCACTGATGTTGCTGACCGGAACCAGAGCAATGTAGCTGTCTTTACTTGGTTCTGGATGAGACTGGTCCTGAAGTTCAGACAAAATTAGTAATAAAGGTAGTAAGAGAGGAAATATACTTAAAATACAAGCCAGGTTATAAGCAAAATGCAAATAAGCATGTCACTCTTAATTTTATCCGGTGGGGTGGGGGGGGGGGGAACTTCCATATAAAAAAGGATGGGGGTGCTGGTCGTAAATTTGGAAAAGAACCCCTAAGAGGTACCAAGATTCTGTTTTGTGGGCGTGGCTTGAAATTTCTTCCACCCTTAAAAGGTACCAATCCTAAAACAACACATTATCTCCTGTCATATTTTTTCGGCTCAATACCCTAAAAGGTACCGCAAAAGCTCCTGCTGTGGACCTTTTGAGGCTGAACACCCTAAGAGGCACCAAAACCACTTTTTTAACCTCTAAAAGGTATGACTAGCAGCCCCATCATTTTTATATGGGAGTTCCTCCCCCCACTCAATTTTACACTCAGTCTGTGCATGAAGACTCAGATGCTACAACCCAAGATACAAGCAGGGAGGGATGGTTAACATGTGATTAAGTTTTATTCAACTGATCAATGATGTCAAGATGGCTGGATAAATATAGAAAATAATTAAAAAGTTATTAAATACATGTACATGTAAATTACAATATTTAGAGAGGAAGCCACATCGGTCTTAGCTGGTTTTCATGCAGCTCCTCTATCGTGATCGAATTGGAATTTGGAGATGTTGGTTTTCATGGAGAGAAGAAAACAAGAGAACCTGGAGAAAAACTCTCTGTGCAAGGAAGAACCAACAACAAACTCAATCCACTTATGGCACAGGGATAGAATTGAACCCGGGCCACAATGGTTGGAGGCGAGCGCTCTCACCACTGTGCCATCTCTGGATAGTAGATCCTGACCAAGTTTGCTGTGTTTGCATGTGCTGTGTGAAATTAAGCGGACTAAAACAGAAAGTTCAATCTCAATGAATCCCTGTTTACAATAAAATTCAAATAACTCACATGCAAAACACTGGGATGAAGAGAAGATGAAATGACAGGGGGATTTTTCTTTTTCCATTCAGGATCAGTGCCTCCCTGCACAGGATTTTTGAGACCCTTTTTCTTCTTTTCAGCAATTTCATATTCCATCCTAGCTTTCTGACTCTTGCAGTATTGTTGAACACGCTCCAAGATGTCTTCACATCGGCTGACAACACTTTTACCATCATCAGGGCCAAATTTGTCCAGGTGAGTGGGAACAATCATGATCCGTGGCTTCAATATGCGTGACGTCACCAGGTCCAGCCAATCACCAACAGTTCTACGAAAACAGCTTTCAGCTGGCTCGTAGTTGAAGAGGTCGACAACTAAGATGTGGAGTGCCTCTATAAGATCAATGCAAAGTATATATATGTCAATGATCAAGGGTGAACTAGCTTGCGAAAAGGTTCCTGGCAATTGCGGAAAATAGAATTCAGCAAACAAAGCGAGCAGGGCAGGCGTGGGAGCCTGAAGACATTCTATTGTTGCTGCCATTCCACGATACCAGAATCTGTTATCATGATCTGATTGGTTAAATAACTGATCATTGACAGCTTTCACATGAATATTGAATGACTTGCAGATTTATACTACAACAATTAGATTATTCGTTCTTGATTACTATGCGTGATAGTTGACTCAGGCTGCGCCCTCGTCAATTATCACGCGAAAGAAATCTCGCGTTCATAATCTAATTGCTTAATATCCTCTGTATCCTTACCTGAAGACAGAAAAAATGGATGAGTCAACTGATATCGCCGTTGTCCTGCACAATCCACAATGTGAAACTCCACACCATCTGGTACTGGTCTCCAAGTGTAGAAATCCACACCAACTGTACTACGAGGCTTGCCGTCTGGGTACATAAGAGCTTTTGCATGGACCAGAGCAAATGCAAGACTTGACTTTCCAGCTCCAGATTCACCCAGAAGGACAACTTTGAGACGCTTTGAGTGCACAACCTGGGTGTCAACGGATGCTAGAGATTCAAAATAGCCTCTGATGCTGTCTAGGCCACGTGTGCAGACATCAAGAGGTGGACTCCTAAGATTGTGGTTTCCATCGACGATTAATGACTCAAGCAGTGGCATATCAACAATGGATTGCGGGAGGCATGTCAGTTTGTTATCAAACAAGTTGATGTGTCTGCAATTAACCAAATTCTTGATCTCATCTGGCAAAGTGGTGAGCCTGTTTTCCATTATCAAGAGCAAAGTCAAAGCAGTAAGCTGGCCGATCTTTGGGGATAAGTCAGAGATTTGGTTACGTTCAGCATTTAGCTTCTTGAGCTTGACCAGATTGAAAAACTCTTCTGGAAGCCTTGTAAGGTTATTCTTTCCTATTCTAAGGCCTTCCAAGCTCTTCAGTTCTCCAATTTCAGGAGGCAATTCATTCAGCTGACAGTCTATCAAGTACAAATCCTTGATATTTGGTAAACGAAAAAATTCCTTCGGCAAACTGTTGGAACTACCAAGACTATTGTAACTTAAGTCCACTATGACAAGACTTGACATGTTCCCAATTTCTTTTGGGATCTTTCTTAGTGTGCAATTATCCATGTAAAGCTTCTTTACGTTTGTAAGGTCGCATATGGGCATGGGAAAGCTTTCAAAATGATTTCCAACTAGATGTAGCTCTTCCAGTTTTGCAAAGCAACTAAACTGTGCTGGAAGACGTAAGAGGCCATTGTCTGGTTTGTTCGGACTACAACTCATAACCAGTGTCCTAAGTTGTGTGGCTTCACAGAAGCCATCAGGAATCTCCTCGAGATAGTTTGAAAAAAAGCGAAGGTCCTGTAGTCCATCAACACTAGAGAAATCCGGAAATTCATCTGGAGTTAACGGATCATAAACTGTCAGATCCACTGTAATGGCTCCATTTTCTGTTGTGACTGGTAAACGCTTGGGTGCCATATTTATGAATTCAAATTCACTAGCAGCCATTGTTGATTCTCAAACTACCCAAATGCAGTTAGAGCTTAACATCTTTGTTATCATTAAGCTCTATACACCTTGAAGAAAATAACAACAACAAAAAAAGTCATTGGCAAACTGTTTCAATCAGTTACGATTGTTAATTGGTGAAGTTTCTTTTTTTTTTTTTTGCTTCTTCTAACTCTTACTTTAACTACACACTTTGTTATCTGAAAAATGAAAATTAATGAAAATCAGACTGGACCATCAAAGGCAGATTACCGTATTTCACACGTACTTATTCATCCATGGACTTAATTTCCCACATTTCACGCACTGCACCGAAAACAGAGCCTAAAATTCAGGAAAGCTGATAACTGCATGCATGTTGTAGTCGATCCTTTTGAAAAACCTGTCCGGCTGCCGGACATAGAGACACAGCGAAATTTATAAGTCATGGATCTGCTCATAGTTAGCTAACTATGATTTGCTGGTCAAGTTCGCAGTTTACACACACATATATGGCTTATTTCTACTATTAACAAGGGCAAAGAACACGACAAGAAGGCGATATTACACGGCATGCAATAAATTAAGTTAAAAACCTTGGTTCTTACCTTACCTTCCAATTCTCCATCTTTTACATGCTTGCCCCTGACAAGATTGAGCAACTCACGAGCAGGTTTCGAAATGAAAACATTCAGATTTTGAAGCTTCCCCTTAAAAAAAGGACGTAGATCTTTTATTATAGATCTTTGGTATTTACTTCCTATACCATTTCGGGGAAATAACCTTGTTAGAAGTTTCATATCATATTTATATTTTGTCCATGTAGGAAACTTCGAAACTTCCCAATTTTCGTGGAAGCACTGGGCCTGGACTAGCCCATATTTTGCGCATGCACTTGTACTTGCTCCATTGAATCTGCTGACCACAATTGAGCCAGTGAGCCGCAATCGCTTGAACCGCCATAGCAACAACAACTTGACCATTTTGTGAAAAATACGAGCTTGAAAATGGAGGTAGCTGGAAGGAAGGTCCCGTCTCCGGTAATACTTGGCCACTCTGATAATATTAATTAGGCTTTATATTATGTGTTGTAAGATCTGCTGGTTTTTAGAGATGCGAGGATTTGGTGTATTGCTGAACGCTAAAGTAAGCTTGCTCCTTGCAAAGAACTTGCAAATCCCCCGTAAAAAGAAGAGAAGTTCAATATGGCACGACTTAGACAATCATGAACATTATAAGCCGAGCATCGTCATAGTACCTTTAGAAACAATGTTTCATAGAACTTAGAAAATGCTTTCATTCCAAATAGTGCTTCTAGTGAAATGTACTGCACAATTCCAGGTTTTAGTTGTTCAGATTCACATCAACTGGCCAAAAATGTTGTATAAATGTCACAGGAGCCCATCACCGAGTGATGGGCTCCTGCAGCTGAGCAAATGCCCCTACCTCTGGGATAACATGTTAAAAAGGACTAAATACAGAACAGAAGTAACTTTCATTCGACTTGCATTTTTTTGGTGTTCTATGAACTGTAAAAAGATATTTAATTAAGTACTTTGAAAGTAGGTCTATATATTTCCCTTCAATCAAAGCTTTTGGTAGCACAGTCATGTAAACTACAACAGAACAGAGTTTTCCCTGCCCCTTGTTCAAACTTCCCTTCTGCCCATGTCAGGGATGGCAGAGCGTATTTTGAATTGGGTGGGTGGNGGGCACTTACAAGCAAACACCAGAGGCGCTAACTTGTAGGGGGTCTGGAGACATTTGTAAGATTATCATTTTATGTATTTTTTGCTTGAAATTTCGCGGGACTGCTAATCTCCTCCAGTGCCCCTGGCCGTCCCTGCATGTGGTGTCCAATTTCTCAAACCAAGTGCAACCGCTATTGTCAAAAGTAGACCCACCCCATGGGCACACCACCAAGTTCAATGCCCAAGTTATGGAGGATGTTGAAGAAAGATGTTGATGTCTCTATTTGATTATTCATAAACTGGAAGATTGATTCCTGCAAGAATGATGCTGATGTCAAAGTAATAATGCACTTAGCCATCAGAATGGTGCTAATTTCCGACAGAGGCAACAAAAATGCCGGGACATATAGCGTTATAGCTTGTATAGGAGTCTGCACTCCCTCCTGCTCTCCCTCCCTCTCCCTCCCTCCCCTGGGTATAATTTCCAGATAGTGATTTCAAATCTTATAAATATTTACTCATCAGATTTTTGCAACAAAAGATAACCCAGCAGCTGATCCAAGACAAATGAGACGGATTATAGCTGAAGACCCAGACTGGTTAGTAAATATTAGACTAATATTCTTTTTGTAACTCTACAATAAGAATCCTTCCTAAAGCAGACTTGGTTGTTATCGTCATCTTAGAATAAAAGGGTTTTATTCATTTGTATTATTCTTCTCATTCTCTTCCAGGAGTCTGGCAACTGTTCCACTTCTAACAGAACTCTGTGTAAAACACATTGTTGGAAACTTTGAAGGTAAGTTGGAAGACAGTATTTTACATTACACCTGTTGACTATTTAAATACAAGTACATGCTTTGCTGAATAATAGAAGTTGGTGAATTTTTTAATATATTGATAATAGTATGATTTTAAACTAGTCATTGTCCTATTTGGATCCCCATGTAAATAAGGCTCGATTGTCCCTGCTCTCCCAGGTCCAATTCCTGAAGACGTTTAGGAGGATGAGCACAGGCTCATTTTCCTGAACAGCGCATGGTAATTGAACCTACATGTACATCAGCCAGTTGTCTCTTCAAGTCAAACTTTTGGTTTCAAGTGCATTGTCTATTAAACAACACATACATGTAAGACTATCTTTTGACTGCACTAAGTTTTAAGACTAAACTAAATTAACTAAACTAAATTAACTTTGTTTAATGAGGGTAACACACAACAGTCTTACAACTGACAAACCCGTGGCCCTCAAATTCCCGATCGAATTGGAATTTAGAAATGTTGATTTTTGTGGAGGGAGAAAAACCGGAGAACCTGGAGAAAAACCCTCAGAGCAAGGACGAAAACAAACAACAAACTCAACCCACTTATGACACTGGGTCCAGGATTTGAACCCCGGTCACATTGGTGTGAGGCGAGCGCTCTCACGACTGCGCCACCCCTGCTCCTCAGATAAGAAAAGCCTCAATCATTGATCAACTCATACCAGAGATATTATTATTGTTAATTGCGTACACAATGCAGATTTTACAATTAGCAGCCATGTGATCAGATATTCTTTTAATTTGCCATTCATGATGTGCTCATGTCAAATAAAAATCCCAAATGTGATCTGCCTGACAAATGTTTGCTATTATCAGTGACTATTTATTAATCCAGAGATACTTATAGATGTGTTTGTCAACCCAAGTTTTGTATTTTTGTGTCAAGAGAAAAAGTATTTGAAGCCCAGGTTCTTCAGTATGTAATATTCATTGATTTGGTTTACAGACAACCCAATTCTCGATGACCTCCTTCCAAAGCACAAGTCAAAAGTGCTTGATGCCCTGTCCACTGAAATTGCTATGAAGTAAGTACAAGTTTGTGCTGAAGCTCATTACAAATAATGTCTGCTAAATTGGAGGATAAAATTATTATTTAGCTCTTATTAACTGAGCTTAGTCAGTCTGTATAGGAGAAATCTTGATCTCGGTCATGTGCGCAGACCTCACTGCATTCGGTCTGTACTCATGACCTGGGTTAAGATTCTCCCATACAGACTGACTTAGCTCGGTTAATAAGATGTTTATTATATGGCACAAACAAGAACTATTTAATTTGTTTAATGTAACTGCTTTGTGCAAGCTGAAATTTTGCTTGTGAATGGCAATGAGCTGAACTTAATTCTGCCAAAGTTTGCTTGTCCTCTTTACTTTTTTTTCTCATCAGACTTTTTGGCACTTCCATAAATAAATATTGCCAGATGAAAATCGTCAATGATTTTGCATTTTCGTTCGCCGCTTTTTCACTGCAAAACATTACCAATCTAGATGCTGGTCTAGATGGGAAAATTTTGACCACTTTCAATAGCAATCTCAATCTCAGCCAATCAAATTCGTGAACTTGGTAGTTCCCAGTCCTCGTGAGACAGAGCCTTATAACAAAATAATAGTTAATTCTTTAAAGTTAATTACTGATCAGCCTTCGATAAGTCTTCTTTGATGTCAGAGTTACAGCTAATCTGGTTTCTGATGAGGGATACTGGAAGAGGTGTTGTAAAACAAGATGGGAAGTGTGTGATATCAATGGGCATGGGAACAGCTGGAAGAGAATGTATTTTGAAAGGAATTTAGAAGGTTTGTAAGACTTTTATAACAACATAATTATGGTATATTAACTTGGCATAGCTGGCAAAGGCAATCATACGTTTGGTCAACTTGTAACTATAAGTGTTACACAACACCGATGATCTATTGTTCACTCAAAACATGAATTTGGGCTGCTTTTGCTTAAAATGAACTGACAGTAGTTCTTTCACTTGCAATTTTTGCTTTGTTTCCAAGTTTTCAAATGAATATACCTAATGAAATAACACAACTCATGAACTGAGTTTGATTCAATTTGAAAATCAAGCATGACATTGAAAAGACTATGCAAAACCGTAAAATTATATGATTTCAGGTATCAACTTATTAGTTAACTTAACTAACTTGTAAAAGTAACTTTTGTGAGTAAATAACCTTAGTCCTGAAGGGAACATTGATGTAAATTAAAGAAGAAATTTGTATCACAAAATAAAATTAACTGTCCTGATAAGGAAGTCTTGCAAAATGGCAAAACGATGATTGTGCCAAAGGACAATAATCATGTACTTGTACATTTAAAGTCTGGAAAATTTGTCTTTAAAAGGATACAAACCCTACATAAAATTATACCTATTCCAGTAGGGATTTTATTAGTTCATCAACCATAATTTGAATTACTTAAATTATTTATAATTTACATTTTAATTTTTATCTGTTTGTTAGGTATTATTGAAAATTTTGTCCCAGAAACCACAGATCCAACTCTAGTAAGTTTACCGGTCATTTAACTTTTAGATTTAGTAGGTCCAAGTACAAGACATTTACTTTAATTCTTAGTCCTTAACTTTTGTACTGGATTCAGTCAGATAATGTCAGCTTGCTTTTTGGGTGGGGTGCTTGATTCTCATAGTGTCCCTTTTTCCCGCCACAAACTAGAATCAGTATAAATGAGTATTCAAAAATAATTGAGTGAGTTCTGGATAACCATTCATCTTGGCACTGATATCTATAGTCTAAAAGCATTAATTTTATTTGAGACAAGATTCAGGGCATGGAACTTACAATTTATCTTAACTAAAGACCAGCAGTGATTGTTAACCAGTAGTAAAATGAACATGTTTCTATGAACAGTTGAATGAAACCCTAAAGCTGTCAGCTCCGTACGTGAGAGGGCTAAATATTAGACAGCTCTTACCTCCTGTGAAAGAAACTTTGATCAAAGATGATGATGCTTCTGAGACGTAAGTAAACAAAAACATTAAAGTTTCCAGTTTAATTATAAGAGCATGCGTGAAGTGAATAGTCTTATTTGCAAAGAAATAAACACACAAATTTAATTTACATCCTTTGTGTCAAAAGTTAAATGTCTTTGCTGTTGTTATGTTTCTCATGTTTACCTCGTCCAGCCCCAACTACAGTAACTGCCTCTTGGTCTCCAAGGAAGAGTGATGTTCTTCTTGTCTGATGTAATTTGCATGTACATAACTGGAGAGTTTACAGCTTGGAAGAACTCAAAAGTTTTTATGAACACAAGGCACTTGCCTGGGATACACTGCAAACGCTGTATTTGAATTCTCTCAAGCTAACTTGACTGCTAATGCATTATCATCATTATCATCATCATCATCATCACCGACGATAACCATTAATGATCAATTCATCTACAGTATCTGCAAACCAACATGTAATTAGCTAGTGTATTTCTTTAAAAAGTCGTGAAAAATGTTATTTGAGATGCCATTCATTTACATGCCATAGAAAGTGTAATTCTGCAATCATATTACCATATGAAAATGTACCTAGCCATAGCATTCAATTGATGTAATCTTATGAGGTTTTATCCATTTGATCTTTCAGCGGCAGTGACGCAGGACAGGATGGCCCAACCATCGATCATTTTGACTTTGGTCTTATCACTCCAGCACTTGTTCATCTAGAAGAACTACACTTGACTTATGGGTGAGGGGCCATGTTAGTTTTTTCAAAAGCCAGTGAACTATTTATAACCATGGCTCTGCTCTCTTTAAGTGTTTTCGGTAAGATCCAGTTGAAATGGAAATCTGACAGATGCTGTACTGGGGCAGTCACCTACATCAAATCTTATTTTCAACCTAATGATGTCAAATTAAATTTAAAAAGATCAAGTCCTACAAAATTATGTTTAACATCGTCAGGCATGTTCAATACATCAGGTCCGGGTTGTTCGAATTGTGGATAATGCTGGACATTCATTGGATAAATCACTATCCAGTGGATAGCGTAGTTTTTTTTGTTAACACTGAGCCACTGGATAGCAATTTATCTGGTGGATAGCATTATCCAGCCTTCAAACAACCAGGGCTAGCATTGTAGGGCACTTTAGAATGCAGATTTCTTTTTTCTTTTTTCTGCAGATTAATATTAAATAAAATGTTTTCCATGACAGGGTTCGTGATTGTGGGATGAACTTTGAATGGAATTTATTTCAGTTTACTGCTAGAGATTGTCTTCTGCTGGCCAAGGTGAGTGTTTGAGAACAGCTGGGTTCTATACAAATATCTACAGATACAGTACTTGCCAGTTTAAATCCAGAAAATGCATGTGGTACATCCCATTCCTTCCTTCCTTTTCATGAGGATCTCAACCAAGATTCTCAAAGACCTTGGTCAAGGATTTTTTAGGATCTTCTAGGATCTTTAAAATTATTGCCAGGACCTTGAAAGATCTTGTCCAAGATTCCTAGAATCTTTAAAGATTTTGCTCAAAGATCTTGGCAAATACCTTTGAACATCTTGAGAATCCTTGCCAAAATCTTTCTTTTATGGATCTTTGTAGTGTCTCTCAAAGATCTTTTAGGAATCCTTGAAAGGTCCTTATCTTTAAGACCCTTTAAGGATCTTTGTGTTCTTGTATGCTCCTCAAAGATCCTGTATAGTTTTTCACCAGGGTCTTCCTTCCTTCGCTCCTTTGTTCATTAATTCACTGGCTCATTATTATTGTCCATTTGTTCATCTGCCTATCCATACATCCCTCTGCAGTGTCCCATTCTGCCAGCTGCAAAACAGCGAGACTCATCCCCTAGACCCATGCTGGCATTTCCCAAAATGGCCATTGAAACATGATAGGTGTTTTTCCATATTTCTGTGCTTGGGTCATAAAAATAATGCAGTCTTTCATTATTTTCCATCTCAGGCCGTCAAGGCTTGCCACACGTTAAAGGTATTCCACCTTCACAGAAGCGGCGTGGATGATGAGAAAGTCCGAGTCCTAATAAGTCATGTACTGGACCATCCGTCTCTTCTAACTTTAGGTACGTAGAACACACACAGGAGTTCATACACAACCAATCATAAATTCAGTATGAATCCTTAACTTTTTGACATCTCCCCTAGAGGCATGTGTTGGTGAAAACCTTCACTCTCGTAAATGGCAAGTTATACTTGTAAAATGACCTTCTTTAGGATTTTCATAGCAGGAAATGGTTTGGGTTGGTTTTTCTAGTGTCACCCACAGAGAGTTGGGATAATTTTCCATCCGTGAAACAGAGATTCTGCTCCCCTACATGTAGCTTGTTTGCCTTCACGAGATTGGGGCCGACGGAGACGTGCTCATAACAGTTTATAAAATAGCCCAAAGAAAAAAACGCACGCTGATTGGATAAATATTGTGTAAACTTATATTAAGCAATTAGATTATGAGCTCGAGATTTGCGCCCACGCATAGAAATCGAGAACGAATAATCTAATTGTTTTAGTGTAGATTTACTAGTCGTTCAAAAGTTGATCTAAATCCTCTTCACAGACACTTCGAAAACGCCAAGAAGCGGCCGCCATTTTGTTAATACGGGCACACTACTATGCCACTCACTGTCTATCACAGAATAGATGGTGAGTGGGGTAGCCAATCAGAGAACGGCATTCGTGATAGAACGCCAGTAGATTTATACTAAAACTCAATAGAAACACAGGACTAGCTGTTTTGATCGCGGGATTCTCTTAAAGAAATAGAAAACATGTTCTCCGTGTTTCTATCGAGTTAAAGAAACTCTCGTAGAAGTTTCTTAAGTAAAGGCTCAATAATCCTTGTGAGAAAGTCAGGTTCCTATTTTGCAATGTCGTCATTTGAAGTTGGCAGGAGGAGGCAGCGTGGCTGCGGGGTTAGGGTGCGTGAAATCCAGGGGGCGTGAGTTCAAGTCCCTCTCTGACCTGTTGCTTCACAGTAGCCGAATTCAACGCCTTTGTCACACTTGCAAAATCGCCTCCTGCCAGTTGGGTTGTAAATATTGCTTGTTTAATTTGAATTGTATTTGTTTCTGACTTGTAATACTAATTGCTCGGCCCACTAGCCTTTCGTGTACTATAAACACTGACTGAGGGTAAATAAAGATTGTTTATTTTTTTTATCAGGAATCTCGGTCGTACTGGGAACTTCTTCCTGTTTTCGAGCTATATGTCATTCCTGCATCAAACTGTAATGATATTTGTCATTAAAGATCTCGTTTGCATGTAAATATTTTACTCTCTCAGATCTTTCACATAACAAGATCAGTGACAATGGAGCGAGAGCTGTTGGCAAATTATTGAACGGCCGATGTAACCTTACGACTCTGAACCTTTGTGATAATAAGATACGATCAAACGGTGCTGCTGCTATAGGACACGCCTTGGGTAAAAACATCACACTCGCATGCATTAACCTCAGACTTAACAGGTAAAGATGGATTTACAGCACGCACAATCAGTGAATAATGACCACGTACCACAGTGTAGTGATAATTTATGTCTATATGTATTTTTACAAGGACTGCAGAAATTCTCGCGAGCTTATTGGCTAAATTTTATTGTCAATCTATAAGCGGACAGACACATGAATTTATAACTTATGTGATAATTTATTCTAAAAAACAAATTGACGTCCGTTTTTCCTGCGTCTGTCCTGTTATTGACAATGAATTTCGTCATAATATTCTAGCAATTCCTGCCTTAAGTAGACTGCACTAGCCTAGTATAGTACTAGCTGACTACTACTATCGACATTTTTTTTCCTTCTCATAGACTTGGAGACGATGGAGGCCAAGCAATATGTCGCTCATTGTTAAAGAACAAGACTCTAACACATGTACATCTTGGCAGTAATGATCTTGGCGAGCCCACTGCTGCTATTCTGTCACAGGTATTGAAAAACATTTCGGGGATTATTATCTTAGGCCTCGTCCACATTACGGCGGATGAATTTGAAACCGGGGCTTTATTTCTACGGTTAGACCTACCGTCCACACTAATCCGTCACCAAAATAGAACTTTCTGAAAACGCTCTTCATACCGGAGGAATTTAAAAACGCCGGCCTTGCGCTCTAGTGTGAACGGAAAACATTTTGTGAACGGAGCTTTTCGAAAACGCTTTTCAAACCGGAGGAATTTGAAAACGCCGGCCTAGCGCTCTAGTGTGAACGGAAAACGCTTTTAACACGGAGCTTTTCGAAAACGATAACGCTACTATGATCATTTCCTTTTTTCTGCCCGAGTTTTCCTCAAACACAAATCCAAAATGACCGGTGATTGCTGCGTTTTCAAATTTCTCCGGCGTAGTGTGGACGGAAAACATTTGATGCGTGTAACCTCCGTTATCAAATTTCTCCGGTGTAGTGTGCACGGAAATCATTTTACGCGTTTTCAGAGTGTAACCTCCGTTATCAAATTTCTCCGGTGTAGTGTGCACGGAAAACATTGGACGCGTTTTCTGACGTTACAATGTTACAGGATTTGGCCTGGTACAATCCTTGCGCAAAAGCGTTGTTTGGCTAATTATATTTTAAAAAGTCGTAGAGATTTCGGCTTCCAGCCTAAAACATTCCGAAAACTAAAATGTAAGAGTGCGAGATGAAACTTATGCGAAAAGAAAGTCTGAAAAATGTGTTTAACGGTACAGAAAGGAACAAAAGTACTATATATTAAGATTACGGTATTATTTTGGCAACGGCTTGGGGTCATTGCCTGCTTATCATGACACAGTCTTTATGAAAATATGGCTATGGCCCAGGGAGTAGGTAAATAATATTCTTGTGGACTCGTCACTAAGTGCGTCAACAAAGAATTTTCTAGTTTTTTGTGTACTTGTCTGGACTAATTCATTTATTGCTTCAACAGGTTTTAGCATCCAACAAAACCTTGGTGGATCTTAATTTATCATGTAACACAATCGGACCGGTGAGCGTTTTCACTTTCTTTGGTCTTCTTTGATTTATAATTTCGTTGTTGATTCGCCGAGTAATTCGACCATTTCTCGCCGAAGAATAATCAGTGAAAAGCACGATGCTGTTGTCAGCTGAGAAAGTTTTATTGTTACAAGCTCCAGGTTCGCTTTATATTAGTAAGAAAGAAGGAAAGCCGTACGCCTTGCTCAAAAAATGTTTAAACTTAAAAACTAATTTGAAAACTCGATGGCTTCTTTTTCTTGGTAGTTTCTTTTCTTTACGTGCTCTCACTTGTTTTTGTTTTCGTCCTATCCCAGTTTGAGGGTCAGAATTGGAAACAGACAAACACGTTCGCAGGCTGTGGGGCTGTGAATAAGAGCGACCCTGGGAACGAGATTGAGAATAAAGTTGTGAATGTTTTTAAGTTTTCTTCTTTCTGTTTGCAACGTGTTGATCAATGTTTATTTGCTTTGGCTACTTTTGTGGTTGGGCGGGAACGTTGGAAAACCAAACAAAAAGATGGCGAAGAAGGTTTTAAAGTCTTTATTGTTGGTCACCTTGAATCTCGCACAGCGAACGGGTCCTGGAGAAAGGCGCTAACTTTCGTTTTTCGTTTTGCTAGGACGGTGGAAAGTCGTTGCAAGAAGGCATGGAAGAAAACACTGCAATAAGAGCCATGGATCTGAGGTTAACGGACGTCGGACAAGAAAACGAATACTGTATAAATCAACTTTTGAAAAGAAACAGAGAGGAACAGTACAAACAGGGACAACTAAGCTAACTGGGAAAGTTTCTCTTATAAATATGAACAATTTATTAGTCAACTTCTTCGCAGAAGAAAACCATAGGCTTTTACAAGTGTTGTGACTCGTCTGAACCAGTGACATTGTAATTTAAGTTTAAATTAAGTTTAAATATATTTGCCATAGAATCCTGGCGTCCTTTTTACAAGATTCTTAGCCCAGAATCGACTTTAGTCAAACTAGTATCCTCACTGTTTTCCAGACATTATAAGTTCTGCTTCAATGTCAGCCGCGGAAATCTATTTTCATTAAATGGTGCGTTTAGCTGTGAAACCGACGCAGTCGTGAGTTGATTTTTTTTTTTACGTTAGCGAGGGATTACATCAAAGTTAGTCCTTGATCTTTAATATTTGATGACATTTATCACCTTCATTTTTTAAAAGTTGTTTATATCTATTTCTTGCACAGTTTGACACGCTAATCAGTGGGTCATGTCTA